TACATATACTTACCACAAGGGGGAGCAGCTATACTAAGAATGACAGTGTATGTCATTGATTATAATCCTAGAAGACTTTAATTGGTATAATTCTAATAGTGTTATTTCAGAAACAAAATCTTCGTTCAAATTTAACTAATGTAGCTGATTTAAGTAAATTCAGGTATTTGGAGTCAAATGGAGGACAGAAAAAGTACCTGGCAAAAGTATTCGCACCCATTGAGCTCGCTTGCATTTTGTCATGTTACAACCAAACTTTAGAACATGTTATTGGGAATTTATGTAATAAAGAAGCAGAAAGTCATGCATGATTTCACACTGGAGTGAGCAGTGCTTCATCAGACAAGGTCAAGGAAGACTTTATAGGGGGAAAAAGAGGAGCAGACAAAGCATCATGCTCTAGAGATACTTTTCTGAAGCAAGAGAAAGGTGATCTGGTTAGACTTGAAAAAAGAAACTTGTTAAAACCTGAAGTACTTAAGATAGGGGAAGAGATTCATCTCAAAGCAGATGACTATATATAAACAATGGAATAGTGTAGATAAAAAAAACAAAAACAAAAAAAAAACAAAAAAAAAGGGGTGCGGGGAGTTCTATTTAGTAGAAATTTTAGAGCATGCTAGTAGAGGTGCCAAAATGTAATTGGAGAGAAAAGTGGTAAAGGATCACAGCCACAGGAACTGAATATAGACACCAAATTTACAGGCGGAAGGGGAAGGAAAATCATGCATTTTCCTTTCCTTTATAATTACGTGCTACTTTGTGTAGGTCTTTCACATAAAATTCTTATAAAAATGTAAAAGTTCACAATTGTAAAAAAAACGGTGAAAGGTTTATGGATATAAATACTTTTGCAAGGCACTCTGTAAAAACAACAATGTTGATGCTGCATTTGTTTAACCTTTTTAATTGTCTTTGTCAATTTTATTTTTGATATCAAACATTGATGAACATTTTGAAGTGGTAATATGTACAAACAGCTAAAAATATTTTCCCCTTTTCTGAAAAATATTTCAGTTTGATCTGGTTAAGAATCCCAAATCATCTCCGTTTAATAATCCATAAGGGTCATAAATCACACTAAAGTCACATTTCTCTGATGCTGTCAACTCTACACTTATCTTTAAAATTAATAAAGTAAACACCAATAATATCCTTTTGGTTTATTTGCCTTGTTCTGTTTTATGGTAAAACAAATAATGACTTGGATCTCACTATGTTATCTTTATGATTGTATTTGCTGCTAACATTGTTGCTGCTATAACAACTTTAATGCAAAGAAAAATATTTAAGGGTTGAGGCCTATCATGAAAAAAAGAAAATTAGTTTTACCAAATTCATAGAGTAATGCCAGAAAGTTAGTGTAAGGCAGAATATATGAGAAAGTTTGATTTGGAGGAGAATCTACAATCTATATACACTGACATCACTGCTTAATTTTAGAAAATTAATACATTTAGTGCAAAAAAAATGTACTTTTTGTTAGAACTGATGATCAGATGTAAGCGAAATTAAATCTTCTGGTCAAATTGTTGGTTGGATGAAAGTAAAACTTATTCTTGGCAAACCAAAAAACAAGAAAAAAGACAAAAAAAAACAAGCAAAGGGTCACAGTTTGTGTGTTCAGAAGAAGTGGGGCGAAAAGTCTCAAGAAAAGAATGGGCCACACAATAAAGATCGTTCTTTATGAAAATAACCCAAAAGAAATGACACAGGAGGCAATAAATTGACACGACAAGTGAATAAAAGGCTAATGCACTCCAATACCATTAAAATAGTTTTAATACTGTTGCAGACCAAACATGCAACAAATGCACTTTACCCCATATTTAATATGCCGCAGATGATATGTAATCTTTCGTTTAACCTGGAAACATGAGGAATTATCCTTAAATAGTTATAGATAATAACCCCTTCTTGCTTAAAGGCACAATTCCTAATGAACATCAGTAGAGCCCAACTGCAAAGTGTTTTGTATCAATTTTCATAAATGGTTCGTTAAAAGGTTTTTCCACTTTGCACACTTTGTTTTAGGAAACTGTGAGAATTCTTTAGCTTTTGAAGAACATCTTTGAGATTAGACAAAAAGGCTCAAAACAAGAATTGTGACTTTAAACTCCATTGAAGTCAGATACATTTGGATTGTGTGAAAATCACATAGTTGATTATGTTAGAATAAGTCTCAGCCATGCACACAAGGGAAAAGAATAAAAAAAAGTATTAACCTCAGCTTCAATGAACAGTTTCCAGAATCTGCCAGAACTTGGGAACTGTGAGACAAGTCGCTCATGGGTCTTCCTTGCTTTATCTATGGGTTGATTCTACAGGAGGAGATTGCATTTACATTCCACTCACTATTTAACATAAAAATGGCAATCTTGCCAATCATGAGGTGGAAGACGATATCTAAAGTTTCATATTGGTCTAAATTCTAACCCCAAGCCCACCACCCTCATTCCCAGTATCCTTATCCCCAGTAATACAACTCGGTGTCACTAAACCTGTGCTTCTCGAATCAGAATGCTCCAAGCGTCAAGGTCATATGGGTTTTCTTCCAACTTCTTCTCTGCTTTCTTCACCTTCTCAGGAATATACTCAGCTGCTGCCTGTAACACACACACACACAAAAAGCAACAAGTAATGTTGTTAGCAAACTCAAAATGCTTGTAGCAATGTGATGCGAGGGCCCACATAGCGCTGGACACTCACACAGGAGGTAATCGTGTTATTCATTACCGGACCATAAACATCAGAAAAACGGGAAGCGGCAGAAAATCGGGATAAATCGATTGAAATACGTATTTTCCCTAGGTAGCTTGGTTTTTCTAGCTGGCGCCATTAAATAGAACCTTACACAGCAATATCTGGAGTAAAAACAATTCATTAACTATCAGAAACTGCAAAGTAACACGATTGTGAACTAATGTTAGCTCGTAGTGTTGGAATCGGCTAGCTTCACGTTGCGACAAAGCGGCTGAATCAATATGGCGCACGACCACACCACAAAAAAACCAATGTACATGACTTCTACGCGTTTGATTCCCCGGATAAAGCTGCACACAGCGAACATTCCAAACTAATTTACGTGCCTAACAATGCTGTATGAGAAAACATTAGCTATGACACAGATATCCCGCTAGCTTGGCCATGAATAGAAATGCGTGTTGCTACCTGCTCGGCTGTTCCCTCCGTCGACATGGCTTTAGAGAATCTGCTTCAAAAGTTTTCAACCACTGCAACTAACACCGAAATAAGCAAGATTCAGGAATTTTCTTTAAAACTACTAGGTCATCGGCATAGTTTTAGGGTGATTTTTTACGTTGCCTTCGAGCAGCTAACAGCTCAACGGCTGGACTGGCCAATGACTAAAATGGCGAGAAGGCAGACAGTAGTGTTCCGTCGCGCGTGCAGGAACAACAAAGTTACTTCCGGCTGTCACAGTTTCTTCAAAATAAAAGCATTGGCTGCAGCATTAAGGATAAAAAAATCATTCATATTTTTAAAATCATTTTGATATACTATGATTTACATTCACGCTTGGTTTAATTACACCAAGATGAGAAATCACTATGATGAAACCACACTCCTAGAATGAATTATAGCGTAGGATGTCTCTAAGCAAATATCGTGTCAGATGTAATGCATGCGTTACAATTAAGGGAGACTCTTCAGCAGAAACAAGAACAAGTGATTTAGCACCAAATGACACTGATCATTCTGCTGGACAACAACAGGGGGAAGCAAATCACAGCTACAGAGAGCGCGCGCTTGAGCGAGTCTGTCTAGCCTGGCCAACAGACTAGAGTAATAGAGTACAGCAGTTATCGTTCACACGAAGACATTTAGTTTTTATTTTTCCGTTCTCAAACCAGTTTTTACCAATTACCTATTATATATTTGTCTAATTATGTACAGGTTTCCCTATACAGAATTCCTTCTATATGTTTAACCTAATCATATGTGTGGTTTTAGTCTTTGAAGCTACACACTGAACAATTGTGTAAGCTTGGAAAATATGTTTGCTTTGTCCTTAAGGATAAAAACAGATGATTCACAGCTACATTTTTGTAGCCTATAACAATTGATCTACACAGCATAATTGATAGCCACACAGTTGAGTGCTCTGTGACTAATTTGTACCCTTTGACAAATATATTTTCTTAAAGCAATTTAGCTGTTGACAGAGGTGAAAGCAGTTCTATTGCTTTAGGCTAATTTCTGAAACATATACCTAAAATTTGCACACATCAGAATATCACAAATAAAAATATAATGGTGGTGTATGCCACAAAAATTGACATACATGTAAATACTGTATATTTTACTATATTTTTCTAAAGCTAATATATTTATCCTTTATGTAAGTACTCTGTGAAACCTTGAAAACCAGTCTCAAATTATTTGTTTGTGCACAACATCAAATTCTTTGTTTGTGCACACACTCTTGCCCAATAAAGTTGATTCTGAATTTTTAATCAAACTTTCTCATAATGACAAATTAAGGTGGTCTGATAACTCTTATTTTCCCATATGTTGCCATCAAACCAACTAGTTTTCACTGTTGGAAAACTAGTGACATTTTTAAATTGATTTATTTATTGACAGTGGCAACAAAATTTTGGCTATCCAAGCTGATAGCCATTTAATTTTCTTTGTATTATGTTTTTCTTAAAATGCTAAGTTTTAGCATTATCATTTTTAGTGTAAAAGCATGTTTTAAGTTGTAATGCTGGCTGTTTATTTGTTCTTGTAATATAATCATGTCATACTGGACATAGGGGACCTTATTATTTAATAAAGCATATCCAGGTGTCTACATCCCTACATTCTATTTCTATCAAAACTATGTTATAAAATGTTATATATATCATGTACTTTCACTACAATTGGGCGGTTTTTCATTGTATTCCAAATAAACCTGGGAGTTCTATTTTTAAGGTAATCTGCAATGGATTACTTAGGTCTGACTGATGCCGTCAGTTCACAAACATTTGCTTCCAGTTGCTAGAGAGAGAGAAGGGACATGTTAGAGGCTGGCAGGGCCGCGGAGCTGCTCGTCTAGACAGGGGGTAACGGGCACCCTTTCAGAGATGGGCAACGGCGCCCAACGAGAAAGGACATGGATCTGAGCTGAGTAGCTAAAAGCCGGACTTGGTGTATTGCTCCCGGACGTCTATATGCAAGAGTTATTTTATGTTTGAAATGTGGGAGATGGTGGCGTTACCAAGAGCGAGCTCTCCCTTCCTGTCGTCTAGGACAAGATGGCAGCAATGCAGGCGAACTGTGCATGGGGTGGATTTATAAGTCCATAACATGCCCAGAGAAGCCCTGGATTATACTTAAAGTGACTCTATGTGAAGGTAAGTGGCGGATTGAAAGCTGTCAGTTTCCAAGCTAAACATTTGAATCGTAGGTTTGGATGTGACGTATTACTCTGTCATAACTTAGCTCTAAACTTAACCAATTTTGGATGTCTCTTCATCTTCAAACGTGAGTAATACAGGCTACACTTTAAGTAGTGTGTTTAATTGAGGTAAATATTTTTTCCCTTTCGTGCCAAATGGTGATGACGATGTCGTCCAAGGTGATTTATTGTAACGCAACTGCCTTGAAAACACAAGTGTTGTCACGGCGACGACGCTTGTGTTTTCGATGTTTCACGTCGGATATTTGGTGATTATACCCTTCAGAGCTATTTTATGGATTAATCTAACTTAAAACTAACTTCGTTGAACAGTATGGGTCTAGTGAATTCACTGGTAAGTTCTGTTTTACTTTGTTTCAATTACCTCTTGACTGAGGCACAGAAAAGACTACCTATCAGAAGCGATGCTAGACTTCTGAACAAATTTTTAAGTTTTTTTAAAATTTTTTTAGCATATTTAACTGTTATTACAGGCATTGACACAACACAGAATGAGCTATTTATAAAGATTATTCAAATGTAATCGAATAACTAACTTCTCACTTCAGTTTTACTTTTAATTTAAAATGTATTATAAATATATATATGCCTCCTAACTAGGCATGGGCCAGTTAGACATATGCTTAGTTAAGCTCAGGTATAACAGCCCTGAGTAAATATAGAACAGTTTGAGACTAGTTTAATATGTAAAACATAAATGTATTACATTATATAATTACTTGTCTAAAATAGAAAAGCTACAATCATTCCCACTGTTGATAAAGTAATGTAGTTTAACATTTGTTTGTTATTTGGACATTGTAAGCATGTAAATAATAATAAAAAAAACATTTTATGGTAGTCTTTAATGGCTATCACAGTGAAAATTAAACCTTTTTGCTCCTATGATATTTATAAAGTAAAACATGTATTATTCTGACACTAGCTGGTTAATTAGTTGGGCTATCTCCTCAGGCAGACCCTACAGTCAGCTGCTTAACAGGCACGCTGCTTAGCTTTGCCATCTTTGGTGAACCTTGTGGGAGTGATGGGTTGGCCCTGCAGCGTTATACCTGGCTTTTTACGGGCTTTGAAATGTTTGGAAACAGTAAAATTGATCTATCTCAGTGACGGACACAGAGGTGTTGCAGGTATCTATCAGGCTGCAGGCAGTCGGTGCTGCATTACTTTATGCTTCATACAATAAAGTATAAACTCACTACTCTCACACTTTCTCTGGCATGTCATTGAAAGGAATTCAAATCAAAGGGATATTGGTAAAGAGCTTTTGTGGAAGTTTTAAATGAAATGTTTATATCTTTGGCTTACCTTGAACCACATAGGCCCAAAGTAATTAGTAGTTACATGTTAAGTTATTTATATTAAACCAGATTATTGTTGATAGGAAACGAGACAGACATCTCTCAAAAGATAATGAAATACTGTTGTAGGAATATCAGCTTAAAAAAAAAAATATATATATATATATGTATTCCCTTCTCAGCAATTAATGGAAAATAACTTTTTGTTGCTATTAAGCCTTTCTTATAAGTGCGGAGCAGCATTTTGCAGGTTTCCGTTGGCGTTTTGAAGATTCGTCTTTGCTAATGAGCTTCAGGTCTTTGAGGCTGAAAGGCCTTCTTGCCATAACCATAATTTTTGGCTTCCTCCACGGATTCCCGACTTGATTCATGTTGTGTTCCTGGCTGGGCCACTCAAAGCACAAAACATTACTATTACCTCCAGTCAGAAGAAACATGTTGGTAAAATTAAAGGATTACGTTAAACCTGCCAGGATTGTGAGCAATTGTGGGCTTAACTTGGCCATTTAAAATAATAACCTCAGCAAAATGTTCCTGTTTATTTCAATGCATTCAGCCCAAGTTGGCAAACAAACATAACAGCAGATATTGGTGCCAACAGATCAGGGAATTATTAAAGCATGTTTTTGACTCGGTTCACACCTGTAAACATTCTGGTTTTTACTCATCTAAAATCCTGTTCAAGGTGTTTGATAAAGTGGTATGTTTTAAAATAGACTTTACAGTAAAAGAACATTAAAATCATATCTGAAATCCAGTGTGGAGCTTGCAAGCCTCTTTCTATTAAAGAAAAAGATGTGGTGACCTCATTTAAAATGCTGGTTAACATCATGGGGGATTTGAGTTTTAAATATAGTTGTGACAGTGGCTGTTATCCAGTACAGAGTTAAGTTGCACTGTACAACAATGTCTCATCGAAACACAACTAAAAGCAATGTTTTTGTGTTCTTCTAATCTGTTTTTCTTTTAACCTACTGCCCTCGGAAACATAAACGCATCCCAAACAAAAAAAAACAAAACAACCTAAGCCTAATCCTAAGGTAATCACACATGCTTAGCTTAAATGATATGTTTAGGTTTTGCTGGAATTAATGTGGTTGAGGATTTAGGCATGAAGTCATTTTCAAACTCGCGCTTTAATTACAGGCTGATCATTTAAACACGCAGCTATTTTTCGCTCTCTCTTATGTCGAGAAAGTCACAACCGCCGCTGTACTTTTCCAACTTGCATGTGTTTACTCGTGTCAGTCATTTCAATGCCTGGAGCTTCTGGTCATCAGTTGCTTTGAGGCAGGCGTAAGTAGCTGTTATCCGAGTGATGTCATCTGGTCGTACGCCTACAGATGCACAGCAGTAAACAAAACAGAGTGAGAGTTTATAGGGGGAGTACAGCGACAGGGCCGTGTTGTGTTCCAGCCAAGATCGCAAAAAGTGATTTCTGGATGGTTTCTTTTATCTCCTGAGCCGTGCGATGACTTCAGCTCATAGACTTTATTTTGCTGCAGTTCGGTAATTTGTTCATTTCTCGCCCAAGGTGATTTGGTTTAGAGACAGACGTGGTAAAACAGCCGTCTGTCTCTCGTGTCCTGCTTTAATATCAGTTCATGCAGTGCTGTGATCAGTGCTTTGCAGATCGATCAAAATTTCCTGTTTGTGGGTGTAACATTTCACCATGTCATTCAGTCAGTCGTTCATACGTTGGAGCAGGATGTTGAAGACTAACAATAGCATTGGTGTTGCTTTTAAAAGATGGACAGGGAGGAGTCTTGTTTCTCAGCTGATGAGAATTTGTAACAGATCTAGATATATCACATTTGCTTTGGAAACATACGTGCATTTGAAAGGACTTCTGTCGTGCCTGTATTGTTTTGGGTGTTGTTCCAGAAAGCATAAATGCTAATGAGAAGGCACGAAGCCTTTGTTGCTGTAAAATATTATTTCCATTTTTATTACTTTGTGTTGAGGGATTTATTAGACCGTCTTATGTTTTAGTAAAACATTTTTATTGTGTTCTGCATGTGATCACTTTATGAGATAACAACTTAACATTAATCGGCCAGTAGTTTTGCACCGGTGCTGCTGAGGCTGTTCTGAATGTGATAATGTTATTGTAGAAATTAAATCGTAGTCAAAGGATTCTTTCACTACATTTTTGATCGTCAGTGTTGGACTTCTACGCTAGTACACATTCTCAGTAAACAGTAGCTTATGACGCTAAAAGAAAACTGCACAGAAAATGTCAGACTTTCTCAGTCAAGATAGGACGAGGTCACATGCTTGAGAAAATAAGGAGCCTTTTATCCGAAGACTACAAAAACCAAGTTCACGAGACTCGGGGAAATCACCGCAGATAGGTTATGGCCATGTGGTCTAAGACAGTAAGTAACCTTTGTGTGGTATTAAAAGTATGGGAACAGCATCG